CCAGGATTTTAAATGTATTTTGAAACTGTTTAGGCAAATTTGATGGAATACACGCATATTAGTTATCAAATTCAAATAATTTATAAAATCTTTACTTTTATTCATACAGAAGAAGAGACAGCATATGTCATCTTTATTTATCAGCAAGGACAAATGTCATGGCACTATGTACCAGGGAGACCAATAGTCATTGGAACAACAGGAAGCAACAACCAAAATGTTGTAGCTGATTTGACATCACCACTTGTAGCCAAGCTCTCAACTCTCCCAGGAAACAAAGGTTTAATTTCAAATTGATGACTTCATATTTTACATTAGGAAATTAATCACTACATTTAAAAAGAATTATATATATAACACAGTATTTTATTAATTAAAAAATATAATCATTACACATAGTTAAATATTTATATACATTTTCATATATATATATATGTATATCCAGGTTACATTGGAGTTACAGCATTTGAGGTTGGTCAAGTGTCCAGTTATGACACAAGATGCTACCAGTACATCTGCAGCAACACATACCTGCTGGATGATCCTGTGTTCAAATACGAAAAGCAACAATTGTACAAGTGTCCATGTACCCTGGAGAGGCTGGGTAACCAATGGCAGCTCTATGAGAAACGTGGAGAGAAAGAAGACATTTACTGCTACGCCATCAGCAATGTTGCTAAGCGAAGGATGTTACAAAAAAATAAAAGAAACATGGTTTGTGTTCATTAGCATATCATCAAATATATATATATATAATATATAACAATAGTGTAGGTTGTTTGTTCCAAGCAACAAAATGATATCTGGTTTTAGCAACAAAATATTGCATCGCTGAAAAGACAAGGAAAGTTAAAACCATTTGCTTTAAAAAAACTTAAAGTGACTGAAAATTTGCCTTGATTGACAAAATTCTTAAATAACTAATTTTTAATTTCTTAAATTTTATAGAACATGTCCAATCACTATACTTCATAACAATCTAGAAAACAAATAGATTTTTTTTTTCCAAAATGTTTGAAAGAAGAAAAAAAACAATATCAGAAGTTGCCCTATTTTCCTTATTGAAATAATGGAGCTCTTAAAAACTCCTATTAGTATTTTGCACACATTAAAGAGTATGAAAATAAAATAGCTTTCATAATTCAAACTCTAAAAACACAAAAAACAATTAATATTTCATTATAATTAATTTTTACTTTGTCGGCATATAAAACTATCATAAATAACAAATTACACTTTCTCAGTCCCACATAATATTCACTTTTATATATATATTCATTTTTTTTGTCTAAAATACTTAGCTCTGCTGCTACCGCTGGACCAAACCAAACAATGATGACTGGAGAGACTGGCTACAAACCTGGAGAGAAGCCACCTATCTCCCAGCATCCTCTGAATCAGGTCACCTACTTATCAAAGACCCCTGGTCACTAGCTAACTATGATCAGTTTCAAGCACAGGAAAATATGCAGGCTCATCAGTGGTGCTGTAAGGATGCCAGCCAAGCAAAGTACTGTGACTGGTTTTTTAAGGTCTTCTCTGACAAAGGATGCTCAAACTTTGTAGTGTTTGTTCCAGGTAAGCTTATGGTTGATTGTTATTTAAACTTTTTGTTGCTAAAATATTTATTACCAAAAGTATTCAGTTAGGCTGTAACAAATTTATCATAGTACTATAATTACCCTAATTCCTAGTAAATAATTTTTTGCTTGGAAATATTTTGAAGCATTAAAATCATTTAATATATGTTTGAATTACCTACTCCCTGATGCTAATTATTTAAGTCTAAAGAGAGTGCAATAATAAGAATAATGTTGCATTTTTACATTTATATATTTGCTAAGTCTAACATGTGATGGTAGGATCAATATCTATGTAAACATATGAGTCAAAAAACAATTGCTTAGCTATTGCTTTTATAAAATTTAAATTAACTTAATCTCTATTGTTGAATCATATGCAATAACACTTTTTTTTAAGATATATATTATGCTCATTTATAGCATCTGCATTGGGTGATCCTACAATAACAACACTGGATGGTCTAAATTATGCCATGAATGGTTGGGGGGAGTATTGTATGATGGAAATTGCTAGTGAAAACTTTACAGTCCAGGTAGGGATAAGACTAAATTTTTGCCAAAATTGTTTTAACAGATTCTACTCATATGTCAACATTTAGTAGATTTATATGATAAAAAAATGTGTTGTATTAATACCAGACAAGAACAGGAAGAGCAGTAACAGTGAATGGAACTCTATCAAGTGCCACTGTCTTTATAGGATTTGCTGTCAAGGAATCAAATCAAACTACATTCCAGGTTCTGCTGTCATCATCTAACACAAGTAAGATTTTAAACAGTTTTTCTTATCAATAAATAAGAGGATTTTTTTACATTAGTAAAATGTTGAAAGTATTATATTAAACCTGTCCATCTCATGGTATTGCTATCATAACCCTATTCACAACCCTATATTTAACTCTAATTCTTATTCTATGCTACCCTAATCTTGACATTAAAGCATTGCCATCACTAAAAATCTTGATACCATTCCATTATTTCACCAGAATTTATATTTTTTCTCTAAATAACACAACAGTCAATTAGTTTATACTGATTATTGTATAGTCATCATCACAATTTTGAATTGTCCCTTCCTCAGCAATGCTGCTGACATCACATGGTGTAGACATCACAAATGATTTTTATAAAGATTCAGACTCAGAGATCATTGTTGCAACAGATTCTATTCAAATCACAAGGGAATACAAGAATAACAGAACCATTGCTGTTATGAACTTTGCCTGTGGTATGCAATTTAATTTAATTTTCTTATTTGTTTTGGTCAAACTGTTTATGTCATGTTAATGTTAATTTTATAGCTTTTGTAAAGTACCAAAAAAATAACTCGTTTTCAGCAAATAAATGTTAGAATTTGTCTAAGCTTCTAACTTTTATTTATTTGTAATGTTTAACAGGTGTGACAATTCATGTTCATGTTGCTGTAAGATGTCTTGAGATTATGTTTGAAGTTCCTAAAGATCTTCAGGGTAAGACCACAGGCCTTTTGGGAAATTTCAATGGTAACACAACAGATGAGTTCATTACTCCTGATGGCCAGGTGCTTTCTGCTAACTTGAGTGAAAAGGAGATATTTCAGCAGTTTTCTCAAACATGTAAGTTGATTGTTTTAAAACATCTAATAGATTTAATATCCATTTTATATTGTTTTTAAAAATACAATTGTATTAAAACTAAGTTTACAATAATTTGCAATTGAGATTTAAAAAATAAAAATTGGTAATATTCAACCGATTATCTAATTTTATACATTTACATTTTTTTTACCCATTTGTTTAATTCCCCAGGGGCAGTAAATGCGAGCACATCTATTTTCTTGTATGGACCAGGAGAAAAAGCTGAAGATTTCCAGCACCCAGAGTTCACTCCCATGTTTAAAGATGAAGCTAAGCCTGAAGATGTGGCCAAAGCTGTTGAAATTTGTGGAGATAAAAATGATGCTTGTATTTTTGATTTCCTGGCCACTGGTGACCAGGCATTTGCAGAGAATACGAAATCTTTTAGTGAACAGATGGCTGCAACAATTCAAGTATTAGGTAATTATGACATTGCATGTAAAAATATATACTTCTTTACGTATTGCAAAAACATGATGAACAGATTAACCATAACTTACTAATGCAACCTAATATAGAATTTAAATGAAAAGTTATAAATGATACATTACGGATTTTTTTACATGAAATTGTTGTCAGTTTGATTGAAATAAAGGATATGTTTTGAACAATAATTTTGGTATGCTATATTATATGTAAGTATAAGTAAACAAATTCAACAGACCCTCTGAAAGTGTAATTATATTTCACTTCTTATCAAAAATATTTTAATGTTAAAAATTTTATTTTATCCAAATCTGTTTATAGCCAATATAAGATCTATTAAATATCTGCAGCAAACAATCCACCTAGCCTTACAGTAAAGAATGATAGTCTAAACTCCAATGGCCGCTGGCTGGTTAAACATGGGACTCTGTCTAACTTACAACTCATTGCTGAAGATGAGGACCATGATGCAATAACATTTGAAATCCAAAGCAATGTCACTGATGTAACCATTGACAACACAGGATTAATAACTTACACTCCTAATGTTAACAGTCCTGTTCTTCTTCAGTAAGTTTGCCTGTTATGGAAAAATTTAAGCTGTTAAATGAGAAAAAATAGGCATATATATATATATATATATATATATATATATATATATATATATATATATATATATATATATATATATATATATATGTGTGTGTGTGTTTTTAGTTGTAATTGTATTAATTAATGAATTTATATTTATGGTTGAAATAATTTATAGGCAATTTCAGTTGGTTTATTTATTATTACAGAATCAGAGCAAAAGATTCCAAGGGTGCTGTCTCTCCATCTATTTACATCCCAATAACTGTGTGTCCACTCTGTAGTGGACATGGTGTCTGTGATCCAAATACTCCAAGACAACAGGAGTTTTTGAATGGTCAATTCCAAATATTAGCCTGTACATGCTTTCCTGCTTACAAAGGTTTGAATTAATTAAAATTCAATTTAACAATTAGAATTTTCTTATAAAATTATCACATTTTGACTTTTTTTTAATTTAAAGGTAGATTGGTCAATCATAATTAAATATTATTTTCATCACATTTATTTCAAAAATCATGTTTAAATGTTAACATTTGCTTTATAAATTATTTACCTTGGGTTTATAGAATTATGATTTAAAAATAATCTTTTAAATGTTAGTTTTTATCCATACTTTTTGAAAAGACATCAGTATTATACAGATACAGTTCATACAATGTTTAATCTTTGGTATTCAAGAATGTTCAAAATATTTTTGAAAATATTTTTTAAATAGAAGAATTAAGAATGAGATTTTTCATATTGTCAGGCCAAGAATGTGACTCAGAGCTGGATGGCTGTGCGATAGAGCCATGTTCCAAGGGACAGAACTGTACAGATCTTACTGCTGCCCAACAGGGAAACAATTCTATTGGATATGCTTGTGGCCCTTGCCCTAATGGATTTTTTGATTGGAAAGGAAAGTGTGTTGGTATGTAAAAGTATATTCTTTTAGGATATTTTATAGTCTTTTTTTATCTACCAGGTATTAATAACATTTAAAAGATTAATTAACACATTTGTATTGTTTGAATGTTAGATGTCTTGCAACAATTTTGAACAGCATTTTATGCTATAATCACACTATTTTAAATAGCACCTGATTGTATATTCACACTATTTTTCCAGATATTGATGAATGTAATGTGAGCAGCCCATGTAGCCAGGTGTGTTCCAACACTGAAGGCTCATTTGTTTGCAGTTGCCAGTCTGGCTACAGGCTGGACACAGTTGAAAAGAAAACTTGTTTAGGTAGCCATTGAATTTTGAATAAATATGTGTTAAGCAAATATATATATATATATATATATATATATATATATATATATATATATATATATATATATATATATATATATATATATATATATATATATATATATATATATATATATATATATATATATATATATATATAATTTTAAAAAAAACTTCATTATATCACTTAATATAGAACGCTGTTTTGTCAATTTTCATAAAGAAAATATTCAAAATAAATTTATCAAAATGAAAGATTTATTCATATTTAAATGCAGCACTCTTTCTTTTACGTTAAATAAACTTTGCTTCATTACAAAAATATGTAATCAATTTTGATAAAAATCAATGTTTATCCTCAAATATGCACTTAAAATATTTATTTTCAAATATTTTAGTTAATAGATAAATTTGTTCTATTTTCTTACTTTTATATAAAATTGTAAGTTGAAAAATACATGATTAAAAAACAGAAATCAATGAGTGTGAGGAGAGAACATCCAAATGTCAACAAAAATGCACAAATACAAAGGGAAATTACTCCTGTTCATGTCAAGCTGGGTACACACTTGATGAAAATGGATATTCTTGCACAATAGGTAATTTTTTTTTATTTTATTTATTTCTTGTTTTGGATAATTCTTTGTTCCATAATAATATGTAACCCAGGTTGATAGCAGTAATTTTTCAAATTTTGGTGTTTTGAGTGCTAGTAGGTAGCATAGGTTTATAACTCAGAATCAGTATCATTTCAAGCTAACTAGATGGTTACTTTCTGTTCATAATACAAGAAGATAAAGTATGAAATTTTTGCTTATTATTCTTTTATTAGCTCAACTAATGTAATATCATTTGAATGTTTTTTTAACCAGACTCCAGCATAAGAGATGAATGCTACCAATGTCAACAGGTTTGTAGTGTGACAAATAACCAAGTGAACTGCAGCTGTAGACTTGGGTATGAGGTTGATCCAACAGATAGCTCAAACTGTATAGGTAGAGTAAAGTTTTTATTAAATATTTTATTAATATTTTTAAATGATTTAAATTTTTTAAAAGTAAAAATATCGGTTGGTCTTATTTTCTTAAAAAAAAAGCAGATTTATGTATAAAAACTGAAAAACTAGTAACTAGTCCCAACATCCATTTAACAGATAATAGTCTTTTTGTAATAAATATTTTTCTTATTAATTAATTATCAGATATAAATGAATGTGAGTATGGCAACAAGCCATGCAGTCAAAGCTGCATCAACCAGCTGGGGACATACCAATGTTCGTGTTACACTGGCTTCAAACTTGGGCCAGATGGAGTCTCTTGTGCAGGTATGGATGAAGTTTATATCACTATTGACTCTGTGGTTATTCGAGGTGTGACACAGGTTTATCACTCTCATATTATTAAGTCTGGTGAAGGTGGAAAATATTTTGACTGTGTTTACAAACTTATCTTTATATAATTATTGATGTTTTACTTAAGACAATGCTGTTGAGATTCTTGTATTTTTTTGTAAACTACGGGTGCATAATGAAATAAAAGTGCATTTTTTTATAAAATCAGGTCATCTTTAATTTGCATCTCAATTTAAATTATTTTGTCATCAAAAATGTAACAGAACATATAGCTTAGCAGTAACTCATCATAACTAAAGGGTAATTTTTAGGTTTTGGTTTTGGTTCTTCTACAAGTATATAAAAATTATCAAAAAAAAAACTTGTCTATGAATCACCAGTGTAAAACAATATACTATTATTTAATCGCTCACAAAATATCACAAACAGTATTCTGTATATTTAAATAGATGTTAAATTTAGTGCAACTTTTCAGCGTGTGAAAAACCTTACTATGGTGAAAACTGTGAGAACATCTGCCAGTGCAGCAGTCACGGGTCATGTGACACAGTTAGAGGGTGTGTGTGTGATGAGAGCTGGACAGGGGACAACTGTGAGCTGGACGTTAATGAATGTGCCCAGCCCAACTCATGTCCTGAAGGTTTTGTCTGTAAGAACAAGATTGGGTCATTCTCCTGTGTGTGTCCAGATGGATATAAACTAGACAATGGAGCTTGCTTAGGTATTTGATTATTTATATTACATATTTAATTTATGTATTTGATGAGTAAAATTTTTTTAACTACAATTGTTATTTTGTATTTTAATAGGACATATATTATAGTTAACCAGTTATTTCAATTATCATTACATAAAAGGTGATTGTGTTCAATTAACACTATGCTTATTGAGACCTATATATATTTTTTAAAACATGCTTCTGAGATATATTATTTAAGTTCTCTAAGCAATAAGACTTAAAATAATTCATGAAATACTTTTTATATATTTATTGTTTTCAGTTTTAATAAATTTGTGAATTATGTATCTATGTTATATTAAGGATAACATTACCTACAACATTAACAGATCTCTTTGGAAATAGAAATACTAAAACTTATAACAGGGTTTTGAAATATGAAAAAATCACAAGCTAATTTCTTAAAATGTGAAAATACTTTTACAATCTCTCTGACACCAGACATTAACGAGTGCACAGATATTTTTTCAAACACAACCTGTGACAGACTTGTAGAAGTTTGTATCAACACAGTGGGAAGCTACAGCTGTTCTTGCAAGAAAGGATTTGCCAGGAATGCTCAGTCTGTTTGTGAAGGTTTGCTTCTATTTTCTAAAACAACACTTCTTTGGAATGTTTTTAGAGTCTTTTTTTTATGATAGACAATATTTAAAAATATTTAAACGAATTAAACAAAATTTTAAAAAAATATTATTTGTACAATATTTTTCTAAGAGCAAGGCTATTTATGAGCTAAGATATTTTTTGTTCATATTTCAGACATCAATGAATGTGAACTGAAAGTAGACAAATGTGAACAGATTTGTGACAACAAACCTGGCTCCTTCAACTGTTTGTGTCAACAAGGTTTTTATCTCTCTGATGACAGGTGGAGCTGTGTCAAAGGTTAGTAATTAAGTTGTCTTGTTCAATATATGATTAGTCAATTTTCTGTATAAAGAGAGTTTTTTTTTTAATGGCTAGATTACTGGACTGATGTACAAAAAATGTTTTTTAGCATTTAATATAATACTATATTAGACGAATCAGATAGCATATTTTGAATTATTGCATAAGTCATTTCTGCATATAATAGGTATATAGGTATAGATATATATTAAATTCAGTAGGCTTACATGTGAAGCAATTTGTTTTTTCAATTTGCCTAAACTTATTTTTTAATTTCAAATCCTTTAATGTATTTTATTGTATTAATACTTCCACCAATTTAAGTAAATTTGTGTTGAGTTGAAACATATTGACACGGTGTCTTACCAAACAGTGAAAGACCCTTGTGTTGGTCAAACTCTCAACTGCAGCTATGGTTGTGGTGTTGATGCTGACAATGTGGCCACTTGCTATTGCCCAAGAGGTTTTCAACTGAAAGGAACAGATCTCTGTCAAGGTATGTTCAAAATTTATCTGAAATAGCAACATGGCTTAAGGTTGATTTCAAATAAAATAAGCTTATTTTATTTCATAAAATAAGATAACATGTAATTAAAGAATTTAAAAATTCAACACTAAAGTGTCCAGTTTTATAAATTCAAAAGGTATTACTGATAAATATCACTTTTTATTTTTGATGTGAATGTCAGATATCAATGAATGCCTGTCAGACAGTGACAACAAATGTGCAATTAAAACCAATTGTGTCAACATTGATGGCAGCTACACATGTTCATGTGAAGCAGGGACAAAGCTGGACAATGATGGCCGCTCTTGTATTGGTAGCACAAATTCATATTTTATGTTCTATTCTGAAAAGCTATCTGAAACCTAGAGCTTTTATTCAATTACTAAAATAAAAGTTACAATTTTTATTATTTTGATGTAAAAATTCTTTGACAGATTGTAGTGGTGAAACTTGGGGCATACAGTGTAACAAGTCATGTAGCTGTGGGTCAGGGGAAGATTACTGTGATCTAAAAACTGGTTGTGTTTGCAAGTCAGGATACACTGGTAAGAAATAATGAATTTTTACATAGTATCATTTTTTGCATTTCTTAATTATATGTCTATTTCTAGTTAGTAATATTTTGCTTAAACTCACAGATTTTGTATCTTTTATTTAAAGAAAATTTAATCTGTTACAAATTGCGTTTGATTATTGTTCAGGTGAGTTCTCTAACTATAAAGTACTTTTTTTCTTTCACCAATGCTACACACATTTTTGTTTCTCATTCAGGAACATTATGTAATATTGACATTGATGAATGTACAACTGGAGCACAGCAATGTGGCACCAATGAGAAATGTGTCAATTTACCTGGATCTGCTACCTGTCAATGCCAAACTGGTTATGTAAGAGAGAATGGAGCCTGCATAGGTATACTAAACTTTGCTCTACAGTTAGTTGCATGCTCAATCTTTTAACATTTATAATTATTAAATTAGAAATAGACCAATGATTTGTTTATCATTTATTTCAAAGATTAAAATCTGAATGTTTTTGTTCCCATAGATTTGAATGAATGCTCCAGTCCAACAACTAACAACTGCCCTCAATTGTGCAACAATTTTGTTGGAGGTTATAGTTGTGCTTGTTTTCATGGCTATTTCTACAACTCGACAACCAACATTTGTTCTGGTATATTTTCTTAGCAATAAACTGTTCTTTAGAATCAAAATTACATTTTAAATTAGCAATTTTATTTTAAATATTAAACAAACATATAAAAGAAATATAACTTTCTTAAAAATTTTTTTTTATTAAAGACTAAAATCTAATATTGATTGCTCTTGAAAAGTGTACCTTTCAATATCAAATAAAGTTTAAAATGTATTTCTACCTCCAGATATAAATGAGTGCCAACAGGACAATACCAGATGTGAACAGTTGTGTATCAACACAGAAGGAAGCTACAGGTGTTCTTGTACATCAGGGCTGTTGCTTCAACCTGATGGTCTTACTTGTAGAGGTAGTTTAATTACATTTAGTTTTTTAATTTGCATACATATAATGCAATTATGCAACATTTTTGAGTAACAGATTGCAGGATGACTTCACCAAAAGTTTTGGACTTTGCTCTGAAGATAGTATCCATTGGGTTCTGATGGGTACCTGACTCTATCCAGGGAAAGTAATTGCATTTAGACATAGAATAGATGGCACAATCCATATGAAGAAACATTAAAAATTAAATTGTATGCCATGTAGAATGCCAGATCCAAAATGGTACTTGATGTATATTTTATTAAGTCAAATTAAACATCAGTATTAAAAAATAATAAATATTATATTTATTTCACTACAATTTATCAATGCAAATATTCTGGATGATTATATAAAAATACTCTGTAAAGGCATATTCTCTATTAGCATTAACAAGTACAGGCTTTTATTTGACAAAACTCCTTTCTTGCAGCAACAATACCATGCACCACCAAAACCACATGTAGCTACCAGTGTGCTACCATCAATGATACAGAAACTTGCCTGTGCTCAAAAGGAACAACTTTAGCAGCTGATGGTCTTAATTGTGATGGTATTTTATAAATCTTTTTATAAAATTTTCTCTAAATCTAATAATTGTAATAATTTTGCTTTTATCCACTCTATAAAACAACACACATTTTTCCACATAATAGTATGTTCTATAACCTATTTGTATACAATAGGCCCTTTCCTTTAAAAAATATAACATCAGAAAAAATATTTATTTTAAGACATAGATCTGTGTGCTAAAGCCACCTGTAAACATGGCTGTGTAGAAACTCAACAAAACACAAGCTTAGAGTGTGTGTGTCCTGTAGGACAAACACTGAGTAATGATGGCATCACATGTGATGGTAGGTTACCCAAGCTAAGTTTATTTTATTTTACTTAAAACAACTTATATGTCTCATATTTGCAATGAATACATAATATTTTATATTTATTTATCATTACCAATTCAGACCTCAATATATAGGCATGCTATTAATAAATTGTTTTGTAGCCTATATAGTTGGAGAGCTATTTTTTAAATATTTTAAACGATTCCATTTTGGGCAGCTTTAACTGCTATTTAAAGCCTACTTTTGGCTATTTCTCAAGAGTTACATAATACACTTCACCTGTTTAAGTGATAGACTTGGCAGCATTATGCCCAGCCTCCTGTACTTTCATAATCTTAGTCATGTGCCCTTCAGAGTTGGATGAACTCAATGACACCCTAATACTAGAGCTAGGGATCTGAACACAATAAATTCGAGTTATTCCATAGCAGTTTGGGCTGCATTATGAAAGTAGAATTTTTTGTCAAAACACCTGGTACCATGCAATCGGTGAGGGAAGTCATGCTGCTGAACATTCAAAGGAGATTACAATTTGTTTATGATAGATAAAGTTAATGAGAGTTTTACTTTCTCATTAGACTGTATTGAAGGCAGCTGGGGCACTGGATGCAACAACACATGCAGCTGTAAGATGCTGAACACAGACCACTGTGACCAGGTCACTGGTTCATGTCAGTGTAAGATTGGATGGGGTGGAGCCACATGTGAAGATGTTGTCATAGACTGTAGAGTGAACAAATGTTCATTGAATTATAAGTGTATGAGTACAGGCAGTGGATATATCTGTGTTTGTGATGATGGTTTTTCTACAACTGGTAATACATGCACAGGTAACTCAGAGTTTGTCTGTTAAAAATATTTTTTATTTAATTTAACATTAACAATTTTTAGAACTTGAATTTTTTTTTTATTAAACCAAAAAGTTGTAATAAAAATATTTCTAATAAACAACCATAGAGGCATAGGGTTTATAAAATAAGGTTTATGAAAAAGGGTTTTTTGTTTTGTGAAAATGGCATATGAAGAGAAAGTGTGGTCAGCATTATGTCCAGTCTCCTTTACTTATCAAACATGATAAAGGTACTCATCAGTGCTGAGTGGACATGGGAATGTCCTAAAGACTGAAGTCTCATTTCCAAAACCTAATTAATCAACTATGTCATCAAGTTCTAATAAACAAAACCTAATTTTAAAAAACCTAAAAATAATCTTTTAATATTCTTTAATTAATTTATTTAAACAAATCATTAAATTGAAATTTCCCATTCATAAGTTTAAATATTGTTTATAGTTCTATATTGATATCTAACACTATATTTTTACTTAACATGTATCTATTTCTTTTCTTCTAGCTTGTGAGGAAGGCTACTGGGGCACTGAATGTAGCAATACCTGCAGCTGTTCTGTGTTGGGGACATCAACATGTGATAGAGTCTCTGGTACATGCCAGTGTAAAAGTGGATGGAGTGGAACTAATTGTGACAAAGATGTTGATGAATGCCTCCAGAATACAACAAACTGTTCATCCCATTCTCATTGTAACAATACTGATGGGTCTTTTGTTTGTCTGTGTGATGATGGCTATTTTAATTCAAGCAACACATGTGAAGGTAAATTGTTGTTTGTTTTTCTTATTATAAGTTAGAAATAACTTAAACCTACAGTCTTTTTTAATATTAATAAAACTATTTACGTAATTTACTAAAATTTTGTTTAATTAACATTGGGCCATATCTATAGTTCTGCCGCTTATATAATTTTTTGGTACTCACTGCAGCTGCATTACTGTTTTGCAAATTATTTGCCTGTTTGATTGAAATAAAGCAAAAAATCAGTCGGGAAATTAAAAAGCATGTTTATGTATTTAATAATTAGTTTCAAACAAATAAATATAAATTTGAATCCATTTGCAAATGGTGTGATTTGTAATAAAATATTACTTATTGAAAAAGGTTTACTAATCTTGTTTTCATATATTTATTTTTGTTTATTAAATTGTATTGCTAAAAGTTAACAACTTACACCATTTATACAACTTAAGCACTACTTCCTCTACCTAATGCCCATACAATATCATAATGTTGCTGCTAGCAACAAGTTAGCATGATTTAGTAATATAATGTTTTGCTATTGGTGTGATCTAATATTGGTTAGTTTTTGGTTTTGGTATTGTTTTTTTTTCCAATGTTAGCTTTATTTTAGTTTATAAAGTATGTTATACACTTTCTGACATTAAACAACAACATACTTGATTTAATTTGCTAAATCAACCACTGTAATAGATTGAAATAATTGTGAGGTCAAGGGAACTCACTCTTCTGTATTAGTTATATTTATAATATTGTTATCTTGAGTGATGTCCCTTGTGTACTTCCTTCCGTCTCTCTCTGTGTGTTATCATCGTGGTAGTTAGACCCTAAATAAATGTGTTATATACAATCACAGGCTTCTGTCGTCAATCTATTATAACTGGCGACGAAGGATAAACATCTACTAGAAAGAGCACCTACTTACGCAAAAAAGAGGTTTGCTAGAGCTTATTAGCTAATTATTTCTAGAATAATGGCGCTGTATGGCCAAATAAATCAATTTGATGCGAATGATGAAATCATTCAAGATTACCTAGAGAGGTTAAGCTTTTACCTAGAAGCTAACGACGTGACGATAGAAGCCAAAAAGAGAGCTGTTTTGTTAACAGTCATAGGGCCTCAACAATTTAGGCTACTAAAGGACTTATGCGCACCAGCTAGTCCAGATACCAAGAGCTTTAACGAGCTGAGCAAATTGCTAACAGACCACCATGCGCCTACCCCATCAAAGTTTCTATGTCGAGCTAGATTTGACAGTAGGACTCGTCAACCAAACGAGTCAATATCAGAATATGTTGCTGCTTTACGTCATTTAAGTAGATTTTGTGAATTCGGAGAAACGCTGTCTGACAGACTATGTGAAAAGTTTGTGACAGGTGTAAACAGCCCTGATATTCAAAGAAAGTTGCTGCTCGAGTCAGATCTAAAATTGGAAAAAGCAATACAACTTGCAGCTTCAATCCAGCAGTCATCAGATGCGGCGAGATCTTTAGCACCTTCAGAGATCCATGCAGTAAACAGCAGGTTAGTCAATAAACATCAACCCCATCAGAGCATTCCAACTTATGCTAAACAGCCTGCTCGTTCAAATCCTAGATCTAAATCTAGTAATAATTATCAAAAATGTCATCGATGCAAAGGTCCCCATGCATCTCATCGGTGCAAGTTCAAGTCTGCAACTTGTTATAAGTGCAGTGAGCAAGGTCACATTGCTAAGGCCTGCTTTGCAAAGTCTTCGTCTGTTGCTAAATCTAGCCAGTCAAGACAGTACCGCAACCAAAAGCAGCACTATGTTAACTCTCACCAAGACTACCTAACCCAACCAATGAACCACTCTACCTGTAAAAATGCTCAAATTGATTCGCAGCCGGATTTCAACCTATTCTCTGTGAAATCAATAAGTCATGCTCCCATCAATGTACCAGTTAATATCAACGGTAAGAGCATCAGCTTCCAACTGGACACTGGAGCATCTCTAACAGTCATAACAAAGAAAGATTTTGACGCTGTCATAGGAGGATCAGTGCCTCTACAGCCATGTCACAAGTGTCTAACAACATACACTGGTGACAATGTTCCGGTAATAGGAGAGTGTATGGTTCATGTAAATTATAATGGTCAAAGTGTTAAACTTCCTCTTCTTGTGGTTGAAGGAAATGGACCGCCATTACTAGGTAGGAACTGGTTAAGTAATCTTAAGTTAAATTGGGAGAGTATTTGTTCATTGAAGAATGTAAAAGAATCTAGTCTTACTTCACTAGATAAAGTTATATCTGAAAATAAAAGTGTTTTTGGTAATCATGGATTACTAAATGATAGAACAGTGAAGTTAAGCATTAAAGACACAAATCCAAGATACTGCAAAGCTAGAGTTCCACCTTATGCAATAAGGAACAAAATTGAAAATGAGCTAAGTAGATTGGAATCTAATGGCATTATAAAGAAGGTAGACTATTCCGATTGGGCGACACCCATTGTGCCAGTGTTAAAGAAGGATGGTTCTATAAGAATTTGTGGAGATTACAAAGCCACACTGAATAAGCAAATAGAGCTAAATAGGTACCCTATTCCTAACATTGAGGAAATTTCTTTGAATTTGGCAGGAGGAGACAAATTCACTGAATTAGACTTTAGTCATGCTTACACTCAACTAGAACTGCATCCAGATTCAAAAGTCTATACGACAATAAACACACATAAAGGACTCTACCAATATGAAAGACTATGTTTTGGCATATCATCTAGCCCTGGAATTTTCCAAGCTGTCATGGACAGTATTTTTAAGGACATTCCAAATGTTTGTGTGTACTTTGACAATGTGTACATAAATGGTAAGAATGACACTGAACATCTTAAAACACTTGATAAAGTATTGAAAATTGTTGGTGAAAAAGGTTTAAAGATAAACAAAGATAAATGTCAATTCATGCTGACAGAAATTAGTTTTCTTGGTTATATATTAAGCAAACAAGGCATCAGACCTCAACCTGAGAAAACAAAAGCCATTAAAGAAGCACCCAAACCTGAAAATACCCAACAACTAAGAGCTTTTTTGGGCTTGATAAATTACTATGCAAAGTTCATAGGAAATCTGTCTGGTAAACTATCACCACTGTACAAGCTGCTACAGAAAAATGCAACTTGGCACTGGGGTAAACAACAAGATACTGCTTTTAATACAGCAAAAGAGGCTTTGTCTGCTGACACCTTACTAACTCACTATGACCCAGGGAAAAGACTTGTATTGACATGTGATGCTTCACCAGATGGTGTAGGAGCAGTCTTGTCCCACATGGATGAGAAGGGTGACAGACCCATTGCTTTTGCCAGTAGATCTTTGAACCAGGCTGAGAAAAATTATTCTCAGTTAGATAGGGAAGGCTTAGGCATCATTTTTGGTGTTAAGAAATTTCATAAGTTTCTGTTTGGTAGGAAGTTCACCATCTTTACAGATCATAAACCATTGCTAGGTTTATTTGGAGAAAACAAAACCCTACCTGAGCATGCCTCACCAAGAATTCAAAGATGGGCTATCACACTAACTGCATACAATTATGAATTGAAATACAAACCTGGATCTGAGAATAGTGCAGATAGTCTTAGTAGATTACCTTTAAAAAACCAAAGCCTGAGCTATGTACCAGAAGATGTATTTGTTCTCTTCACTATCATGGATAACTCCAATATAGATGTGAATGATGTTAATGTGAATGATATTAAAAGAGAAACACAAAAAGATGAGTGCTTAATAAAAGTATATGAGTACTGTATGAATGGTTGGCCTGAAGAGTCTGTGAATGATGACTTAAGGCCATATAAAATAAGAAATTAAAACCTTTGTGAAGATAATATAAAAGATGGAGAAGATGCAGTCCATTATCAGTCAGAGCTACCTAAACAAAGTATTTGTAACTTAATAAATGATTATAGTGATATGGCACTTTCAAATGCTTTAAGTAAGAAGGAATGTGATCATCAAACAACTTTGCTAACATCATTAGCACTTACAGAAACTAAAAGAAACTAAAAGGGTAACATCAAAAGAAGAAAAAGATTTTTGCCATTTAATACACCCACTTCAAATACTGGATCACAGTTGCAAAGTGATATTGTCCAGGATATTACTTTTAAACAGTATTTTTGGTTACAAAAAAAGCACTATCAGATTACCTGAGGAAATTGATCAATCAAAGAAATCTATGTCAGTCAAGGATCTGAATAACAGCATAATACTTTCAGATGCCAATTCAAAAAGTAAATCATGACAGAACACCCATTGAAAGAGAATTTGGTGTTAATGAGAATGTGTATCTAAGAAATTATGGGAGAAAGGAAAAATGGATTCCAGGTCAAATTGTTCAATGTACAGGACCTGTGTCTTATAAAGTAAAAACAAATGATGGACTTATTGTCCGTAGACATGCAGACCAGTTAAAAATAACTTGTGCAGATAATAAGGGTGAATCTGTCAATCCCACCAAGTCTGATCAGTTCACACCAACTCAGTTTGTTCCACAACCAAGTTCTGTTGATATGAGTGAATCAAGTTGTCTGGAGTCAGAAAATGTAAATTCTGGAGTTAATGACTTAAATCCTAGACCTCCTGAGATAGAGAATCCAAATGGTCAGAATATTGAGTCACCAAATCAAAGGCCACTGAGAAGGTCAAACAGGACAATCAAAGTCCCAAATAAGTTAGACCTATGATTCTAAAGGTCAAAAGGACTTTGACATTATTGTTTTGTATTTTGATTATGTTGTAGCATATTGTGCATTGTTTGTAAGGATGTAATCTACCATAGTGTTCATGTTACAATATAATTGGTGATTTTAGGATACTATCAATTGTTCTATTGAGAGATGTGTTATTGTGTTCTAAGGGTAAAGGGATGTAATAGATTGAAATAATTGTGAGGTCAAGGGAACTCACTCTTCTGTATTAGTTATATTTATAATATTGTTATCTTGAGTGATGTCCCTTGTGTACTTCCTTCCGTCTCTCTCTGTGTGTTATCATCGTGGTAGTTAGACCATTAAATGTGTTATATACAACCACAGGCTTCTGTCGTCAATCTATTATAACCACATTTCACAAACATTATACATCACTTACATTTCATACAAAAAGTAGCTGCTAATATTTTAAAAGATAACACTTAATTGGCTCAATTAATCTATGGCATTTGAAGTAATATATTTATAAAACTTTTTCCAGCTTGTGTAGAAGGTACCTGGGGCACTGAGTGTAGCAACAACTGCAGCTGTTCTGTGTTGGGGACATCAACATGTGATAAAGTCTCTGGTACATGCCACTGTAAAAGTGGATGGAGTGGAACTAATTGTGACAAAGATGTTGATGAATGTCTCCAGAACACAAACAACTGTCCATCCCATTCTCATTGCAACAATACTGATGGGTCTTTTGTTTGTCTGTGTGATGATGGCTATTTTAATTCTAGCAACAAATGTGAAGGTAAATTATTTGTTTTTCTTGTAAGTTAGAAATAACTTAAATGTACGGTCATTTTTTTAATATTAATAAAACTATTTACGTAATTTACTTTAATTTTGTTTAATTAAGATTGGGCCATATCTTCAGTTCTGCAGCTTGAATAATGTTTTGGTACTCACAGCAGCTGCATTGCTGTTTTGCAAATTATTTGCCTGTTTGATTGAAATCAAGCAAAAAATCAGTCGGGAAATACAAAAGCATGTTTATGTATTTAATAATTAGTTTCAAGCAAGTAAATATAAATTTTAACCCATTTGCGAATGGTATGATTTGTAATAAAATATTAATTTATTAAAAAGGTTTACTAATCTCGTTGTAATCTTAGGCGTTATATATTTATAAAATCTTTCCAGCATGTGTAGAGGGCAGCTGGGGTACTGAGTGTAATAAGACCTGCAGCTGTTCTGTGTTGGGGACATCAACATATGATAAAGTCTCTGGTACATGCCAGTGTAAAAGTGGATGGAGTGGAACTAATTGTGACAAAGATGTTGATGAATGCCTCCAGAACACAAAAATATGTCCATCCCATTCTCATTGCAACAATACTGAAGGAAGCTTTGACTGTGTTTGTGATGAATTTTATTTTTTCTCAAACAATAAATGTGAAGGTAAAATAGATATTTTATTTGCTAGAAAAATGTTATCAAAATTTTAAGGTGTTTGATATTATGTAAAGTATTTAGTGTGAGGCCCTCCTTAAGTAAAGACTTACTTAGTTTTTAAGTTTTAACAAACAATGCCCACATCATTGTATTGTATAATTTATAAACAGGACATTCTTAGAAATATTTAGAATCTAGTAGGCCTATACAGTAATTCAATTATTGATCAAATAATTTAAATTTTAAGAATGTTCTATCAAGAATACAGGAGTTTTTGAAAAATGTATTTTAAAAAAACATTGTAGTGTAAAAAAATATTTTTATAAAAAATAATCATAGCTTGTTATAAAATAAATATTGTTTAGAAGATATAAAATTTAAAAAAATATTCATTGTATCATAATCATTGTTCATACAGCTTGTGAAGAGAATTACTATGGTCCCAACTGCACACTGCGCTGTGTATGTAATACAAGCAACCATGAGTTTTGTACTAAACAGGGTAAAGAGTATGTGTGCTCATGTGACAAAGGCTTTGAAAAGAAATGCAACTCTTGTGCCTGTGAAGGTAAGATTTTATAAGATAGATAGGCATGAAAGAAACCTACATATTTATTTTTATTTTATAGTTTTTATGATGTTAGAAGCTGCATTTGTTACAGTAAAAAATTATTATTATTTATTATACTTTAAATAAGAAAATAATGTAAATCCATATTGTAATATAAAAATAAAGCAGACTACTCTAATTTTCAAAAATATTTTTATTAAATAAATACAAATATGCAAATGAATAATTATGTATAATTAACATTAATATCTAAGATATTGATGAGTGTGCTCTGTCAACACCAATCTGTGAACAGAAATGCACCAACACTATTGGTGGTGTCAATTGTTCATGTAAAGATGGCTTTGCTATTAGCCCTACAAATTCCACAAAGTGTCATGGTAATCTTATCTTATTAAATACTTCTTTACTTTTATTTAGTTTCTTAATTATACAGAGTAATCATATTTTCATAGTTAAAAAGTTATAATTTAACTGAATTGTTTACAGAAACAACCAAACACAACGTGACAATTACATTCAACTTGGATGTTTCCAAACTAAATCTGGAGGACAAAAACAGTGATGATTACAACAAAACAAAAGATGAAGTGGAATCCCAAGTAATGTGCTATGCTATAATATTTTCATACACATTTTACTTAATATGACTTTTTAAACGCTTTAATGTTATCATTAATTTAAACTAAACTTTAACAGATTGGAATAATAAGTCTTATTTATTTTTATTCATAGTGCTAAGTATAGAGTAAGGTAAATGTGAGCAGTTTTTAATTTCTTAAGAAAACTCCATTCTTCCTAAAAATTTTAATTGGATGTATTATTATGAAAATTTAGATTAGAGTAATAGTGCTAATTTGTATGAAATTTAAAAAAAAATTTTTTTTAATGAAATTTCAAATTAGAATATTTTTGAATTGATGTTTACTTTAATAAACTAAGAGACTAAAAATGCCAATTTCGTTTCAGATGTACAAGCAATTGAAAGCTACAGGAGTGGCTGTGACTGAAATTTATGTTCAAAATCTCAAGTTAGAATTTATTCAAATCATGTTTCACTTGTATTTTTATTTCAGCAACTACATTGTTGACTAGACAAAACAGTTTTATGCTTTTGTGTGTGGACCTAATACCATACATCTCTATATTGAAACATCAATTTAATTTGTGTTAATATAATTTTTTTAAACTTAGTCAATAAAACTATAAGTAAGTATATCAACCGCTAAGTTTTCTCATCAAAAACCAATTTACTTGATTGTAAAACAGATCATAAAATGATGTGAATTTGTTTTTCCAGATTTCAAAGCAATTACTTTTGTATTCGTCACCAATTTTGCTAGTCCTTATAAACTTCAAATTTTATTTTTGATACAATTAAAGGAACAGTTTACAATTATTAATAACAATTAAACAGCAGTCATAATAATAATTATGACATTACTGTTTAGTTTTACATGATTATTGTAATAGATTGAAATAATTGTGAGGTCAAGGGAACTCACTCTCTGTATTAGTATTATATTTATATTGTTATCTTGAGTGATGTCCCTTACATGTTGTTATCTATATATAGTGGTCTCTGGCCACTTCTCTCTCTCTCTTCGCATGATGGCGTCTGTACATAATAAAGACTGTTAACAACCAACGCGGCTTCTCGTCAGTCATTACAATCCACGTCATTTGGCGACGAAGGATAAACATCTACTAGAAAGAGCACCTAATTACGCAAAAAAGAGGTTTGCTAGAGCTTATTAGCTAATTATTTCTAGAATTATGGCGCTGTATGGCCAAATAAAAGAATTTGATGCGAATGATGAAATCATTCAAGATTACCTAGAGAGGTTAAGCTTTTACCTAGAAGCTAACGACGTGACGATAGAAGCCAAAAAGAGAGCTGTTTTGTTAACAGTCATAGGGCCTCAACAATTCAGGCTACTAAAGGACTTATGCGCACCAGCTAGTCCAGATACCAAGAGCTTTAACGAGCTGAGCAAATTGCTAACAGACCACCATGCGCCTACCCCATCAAAGTTTCTATGTCGAGCTAGATTTGACAGTAGGACTCGTCAACCAAACGAGTCAATAACAGAATATGTTGCTGCTTTACGTCATTTAAGTGAATTTTGTGAATTCGGCGATACGCTGTCTGACAGACTATGTGAAAAGTTTGTGACAGGTGTAAACAGCCCTGATATTCAAAGAAAGTTGCTGCTCGAGTCAGATCTAACATTAGAAAAAGCAATACAACTTGCAATTTCATTCCAGCAGTCATCTGATGCGGCGAGATCTTTAGCACCTTCAGAGATCCATGCAGTAAACAGCAGGTTAGTCAATAAACATCAACCCCATCAGAGCATTCCAACTTATGCTAAACAGCCTGCTCGTTCAAATCCTAGATCTAAATCTAGTAATAATTATCAAAAATGTCATCGATGCAAAGGTCCCCATGCATCTCATCGGTGCAAGTTCAAGTCTGCAACTTGTTATAAGTGCAGTGAGCAAGGTCACATTGCCAAGGCCTGCTTTGCAAAGTCTTCGTCTGTTGCTAAATCTAGCCAGTCAAGACAGTACCGCAACCAAAAGCAGCACTATGTTAACTCTCACCAAGACTACCTAACCCAACCAATGAACCACTCTACCTGTGAAAATGCTCAAATTGATTTGCAGCCGGATTTCAACCTGTTCTCTGTTAAATCAATAAGTCATGCTCCCATCAATGTACCAGTTAATATCAACGGTAAGAGCATCAGCTTCCAACTTGACACTGGAGCATCTCTAACAGTCATAACAAAGAAAGATTTTGACGCTGTCACAGGAGGATCAGTGTCTCTACAGCCGTGTCACAAGTGTCTAACAACATACACTGGTGACAATGTTCCGGTAATAGGAGAGTGTATGGTTCATGTAAGTTATAATGGTCAAAGTGTTAAACTTCCTCTTCTTGTGGTTGAAGGAAATGGACCGCCATTACTAGGTAGGAACTGGTTAAGTGATCTTAAGTTAAATTGGGAGAGTATTTGTTCATTGAAGAATGTAAAAGAATCTAGTCTTACTTCACTAGATAAAGTTATATCTGAAAATAAAAGTGTTTTTGGTAACTCTGGATTACTAAATGATAGAACAGTGAAGTTAAGCATTAAAGATACAAATCCAAGATACTGCAAAGCTAGAGTTCCACCTTATGCAATGAGGAATAAAATTGAAAATGAGCTAAGTAGATTGGAATCTAATGGCATTATAAAGAAGGTAGACTATTCCGATTGGGCGACACCCATTGTGCCAGTGTTAAAGAAGGATGGTTCTATAAGAATTTGTGGAGATTATAAAACCACACTGAATAAGCAAATAGAGCTAAATAGGTACCCTATACCTAACATTGAGGAAATTTCTTTGAATTTGGCAGGAGGAGACAAATTCACTGAATTAGACTTTAGTCATGCTTACACTCAACTAGAACTGCATCCAGATTCAAAAGTCTATACGACAATAAACACACATAAAGGACTCTACCAATATGAAAGACTATGTTTTGGCATATCATCTAGCCCTGGAATTTTCCAAGCGGTCATGGACAGTATTTTTAAGGATATTCCAAATGTTTGTGTGTACTTTGACAATGTGTACATAACTGGTAAGAATGACACTGAACATCTTAAAACACTAGATAAAGTCTTGAAAATTGTTGGTGAAAAAGGTTTAAAGATAAACAAAAATAAATGTCAATTCATGCTGACAGAAATTAGTTTTCTTGGTTATATATTGAGCAAACAAGGCATCAGACCTCAACCTGAGAAAACAAAAGCCATTAAAGAAGCACCCAAACCTGAAAATACCCAACAACTAAGAGCTTTTTTGGGCTTGATAAATTACTATGCAAAGTTCATAGGGAATCTGTCTGGTAAACTATCACCACTGTACAAGCTGCTACAGAAAAATGCAACTTGGCACTGGGGTAAACAACAAGAAGCTGCTTTTAACACAGCAAAAGAGGCTTTGTCTGCTGACACCTTACTAACTCACTATGACCCAGGGAAAAGACTTATATTAACATGTGATGCTTCACCAGATGGTGTAGGAGCAGTCTTGTCCCACATGGATGAGAAGGGTGACAGACCCATTGCTTTTGCCAGTAGATCTTTGAATCAGGCTGAGAAAAATTATTCTCAGTTAGATAGGGAAGGCTTAGGCATCATTTTTGGTGTTAAGAAATTTCATAAGTTTCTGTTTGGTAGGAAGTTCACCATCTTTACAGATCATAAACCATTGCTAGGTTTATTTGGAGAAAACAAAACCCTACCTGAGCATGCCTCACCAAGAATTCAAAGATGGGCTATCACACTAACTGCATACAATTATGAATTGAAATACAAACCTGGATCTGAGAATAGTGCAGATAGTCTTAGTGGATTACCTTTAGAAAACCAAAGCCTGAGCTATGTACCAGAAGATGTATTTGTTCTCTTCACTATCATGGATAACTCCAATATAAATGTGAATGATATTAAAAGAGAAACACAAAAAGATGAGTGCTTAATAAAAGTATATGAGTACTGTAAGAATGGTTGGCCTGAAGAGTCTGTGAATGATGACTTAAGGCCATATTAAATAAGAATTAAAAACCTTTGTGAAGATAATATAAAAGATGGAGAAGATGTAGTCCATTATCAGTCAGAGTTGCCTAAACAAAGTATTTGTAACTTAATAAATGATTATGGTGATATGGCAATTTCAAATGTTTTAAAGAGAATACATTAGTAAGAAGGAATGTGATCATCAAATAACTTTGCTAACATCATTAGCACTTACAGAAACTAAAAGGGTAACATCAAAAGAAAAGGAAAAAGATTTTTGCCATTTAATACACCCACTTCAAATACTGGATCACAGTTGCAAAGTGATATTGTCCAGGATATTACTTTTAAACAGTATGTTTGGTTACGAAAAAAGCACTATCAGATTACCTGAGAAAATTGATCAATCAAAGAAATCTATGTCAGTTAAGGATCTGAATAATAGCATAATACTTTCAGATGCCAATTAAAAAAGTAAATCATGACAGAACACCCATTGAAAGAGAATTTGGTATTAATGAGAATGTGTATCTAAGAAATTATGGGAGAAAGGAAAAATGGATACCAGGTCAAATTGTTCAAGGTACAGGACCTGTGTCTTATAAAGTTAAAAATAACTTGTGCAGATAATAAGTGTGAATCTGTCAATCCCACCAAGTCTGATCAGTTCACACCAACTCAGTTTGTTCCACAACCAAGTTCTGTTGATATGAGTGAACCAAGTTGTCTGGAGTCAGAAAATGTAAATTCTGGAGTTAATGATTTAAATCCTAGACCTCCTGAGATAGGGAATCCAAATGGTCAGAATATTGAGTCACCAAATCAAAAGCCACTGAGAAGGTCAAGCAGGACAATCAAAGTCCCAAATAAGTTAGACCTATGATTCTAAAGGTCAAAAGGACTTTGACATCATTGTTTTGTATCTTGATTATGTTGTAGCATATTGTGCATTGTTTGCAAGGATGTAATCTACCATAGTGTTCATGTTACAATATAATTGGTGATTTTAGGATATTATCAATTGTTCTATTGAGAGATGTGTTATTGTGTTCTAAGGGTAAAGGGATGTAATAGATTGAAATAATTGTGAGGTCAAGGGAACTCACTCTCTGTATTAGTATTATATTTATATTGTTATCTTGAGTGATGTCCCTTACATGTTGTTATCTATATATAGTGGTCTCTGGCCACTTCTCTCTCTCTCTTCGCATGATGGCGTCTGTACATAATAAAGACTGTTAACAACCAACGCGGCTTCTCGTCAGTCATTACAATCCACGTCAATTATTTTTATTACATTTTAGATGGTTTTAATTATATCTTTTTTTTTTAATCAATATTACAGAAAAGGTAGTCTTATAGCAGATATTCTTGTGCTGATTGATAGCATTATAGAGAGCAGTCCAGACAAATCACTGACTTCTGCTTTACAAGTGATCATGACTCAAGGAATTACTATAAATAATGTCCTCTCAACTGTTCTTAATCTGTATGTTGGAGGCCAAACAGGTAGGGAGATATGTAGTTTTGTTGTACATTGTTTTATATTTTATGTTTGCAGTTCATATTTCAAGAAAGTTTTATTATTTAAAATTGGTGTTTTAAAAGATTATAACTGTTTGCTTTATTTAGTCTATGCTTCAACTTGTGAAGTGAGACAAAAGACCAACCCGTGTAGAAATAATGAGGCATGTATTGTGGAAAATGGTGCAACAGTCTGCAGGTATGAAAAAATACAGATAACATAACATACATTTTCGTATACTTAACTTATATTTACATGTTAAGTGGATAAAAAGCAAAATTTGTAGCCTCATGTTTTAATATATATCAAGATATAATCACTGTCACAAACATATTGTTTCTAGTTCCCTAATATAGGTATATTTTGTTAAAAGTACATCATAATGTAAAAAAATAATGTTAATGTTGTATAAGGCAATTAACAATTTATTAAGATAATACATTGTTTTATTTTTTTAATTCCTGTAATTATTTATTTTGTTTCTTTAGGGTCATTGTTGATGGTAAGTGTACTAAATAATAAGAAATTCCAATGTAACAAAATGTGATTATTAATGGAAATGTTTAATTAAGTTTAATGGTTTGAAAACTTAAGTGTTCGATTTGTGAAGTATAATTTGACATTAAATTACTACAAATAAACTTTATAAAATAACTGAAATGTAGATACAATTTACTTTTTTTTAGAGATAATAGCAAATATAATAAAAATTACATTTTTCTAACAGATGACATGGATCTTAAACTTGGGCTTGGTATAGGATTGCCTCTTGCTGTATTAGCCTGTGTTGTCACTGGTGTGGTAGTCTATTTTTGCAAGAAAACTTCAGGAAAACACAAAATTTTCCCATAAATAAGACTTTCTGCTGACATTTTAAAAAAGAAAAATTAATATGCCTTGCAAGACTTTCATTACAGATTACATATTTTGCTATTACCACTTTAAAAGGGATTTTCTAGTAAATCATTACATTTAAGAATAATTAAATATTGAAAAAACTATAGCTATTCAGAGGGCCCATTATTTTTTGATAATTAAAAAAAATGACAAATACCAAAAACAATGAAGAACCTGATGTTTTAAAAGCCTTATTTAAAGTGTATTTTAATCATGTAAAATATATTTTGTTGATTACTAATCTGCCGTGTATTGTATTTATAAATTTAACAATTATACTACCTTTAATACAAAAAATAATTAAGTTACTCATAGTTTAAATATAAATATAATCATACTTAGTGGAAATAAAAATTAAAAATAAAAAGTAAGCCAAATAAATCATTTATATTTTAATATCAACATGACCTGGAACAAATATTTTCTAAAAATAATTTTATAAATAAAACATGTAACTCAGTTTGGTATTTTTTTCTGTTGATAATCAATGCTGTTTATTGTATTACTAAATTTAACAATAACTTCCTTTAATACATTTAAATAGGAAAAAAATAGTCATGTGATTAGTTGAAATATTAATATAGGCCTAGATATTTAGTGGAAAAAAAAAATTAAGTCACCAAAATTAACCTTTAAAATTAAATGTATTTTTTTAATTTTTGAGACCAATTTGCTATACAATTTTTTTATACTTTTGTATATTATTTTTGCAGCCAATTCAAAACAAAAATTTTTATTGTGTGATATTTTTTATCAGATTTATTTCTCTACTGAAATAATAGTGGAACCAAGCTTAAATAATTAATTTATATTGTATGTTTTTGTAAGCGTGTAGGCTACTGTTTATGTATTATACTATTGATGTATTTATTTAGTATGCTGTGATATGTAAATAAAACTATTATCTTTGTACTATTTTGTATATTAGTTTATCATTAATAATATTCAAATACTTATATTACTAGAAATAAAAATCAGAATAACTATTCCAATATTCAGAGTTTTTAATATCAACCTGCTTGCAGAGGCATAGCGACCCTTCCCGGCGCCCGGGGACAAACTTTCGATGTGCACCCCCTCCCTCGAACTTTCGATTTGCACCGCCCCCCCCCCATTTTGGCGCTCGTAAGGTCGGCGCGAGGGGACATATGCCCCCCCTCCCCTCGCTACGCCTCTGCCTGCTTTCTTCTTCTTGTAAATGAACAAGTATTTTCTAAAAAAAATTATGAACTATAAATATACATTTAACAGCATTTTAAAAATATTTTTTGTTGATAATGCTCTGCTCTATTGTATATATCTAAATTGAACAATAACTATTTCAGTCATACCAGTGGCGTAGCGAGGTCGGGTGTCACCCGGTGCGGAACTTAATGGCGTCACCGCCCTAGAGGCGTTGCGACCCTTCCCGGGGACAAACTTCTAAGTTTTCGATTTGCACCCTCCCCCCTCAAGTTTTCGATTTGAACCCCCCCCCTCAAACTTTCGATTTGCACCCCCCCCCCTAAAGTTTTTCTCTATATATTTTGCTATTTTTTGCCTTGGTGTCACCCCCCTAAATGTTGTCACCCGGTGCGGTCCGCACCCCCCTCCCCCGCCCCTGAGTCATAGATTTAATTAGAAAAAAAACTGGTTTACTCCTAGTTTAAATATAAATAGAAAGACGTAAGGATCTACGACATTACCATACCCCCCCATTAATTACCCTAAGGGCTTTTTCCCACACCTCACCATTATCCCTGTCAATTACCACAACAGAATACGACATTACCCCCATCCCCTATTTTTTGCACGGTTAACTAAAGATAGATATAAGTTTTTGAGATGATGATGGAAATGGATAAAATAAAATGTCGCTACTGATGTGGTGTATTTATTTAAAATAGTTTTATTTATTTTTAAAGTACTTATGCCCAACTTATAGTACTGCTGGTAAACGGTTGTGAGACAGTTGATTTTAGAAGCGAATGGTGTAAACGTACGCCTAAATCTTCAATGTTAATCCGCTATTTGACATGACCAATAAAAATTATATTTTATGTTTATTTTGTTTTAGCGGATCGGTGGGGGGATGTGTTGTTTAATATATATATATATATATATATATATATATATATATATATATATATATATATATATATATATATATATATATATATATATATATATATCATAATGGTAAGAAATATATATATATATATATATATATATATATATATATATATATATATATATATATATTCCATAATGGTAAGCTATTTTGTTCAAAGCTACAACAAAACTAATTGGATAACTTGTCCTTGTTTCTAGAAAATTTAAACTGAATTATCTGATCTTTGTTTTGTTTGTTTTGAATTGTGCAGGTAAAGCGAGTCATTTGTTTTTAACGTCTTACCCCCTGTAGAGTTAATTGATCACACTCGACTACACGAGGGGTTATCAAAATATTTGTAGGGACACCTATACATTACCGTTGTATACATTCCTGGGATCAAGCCAGCGAGAATTACTAAAGTGCATCAAAATAGATCTGGGTAGTCGTTCTTTTGGAACCATGTTATTTCCTGGGGAATAGTTTCTGGTTTCAGAGGCGTGTCTTCAAAGAGGTAGCATGGAGCGGTAGTGTTTTTTTTTTTTGCTATTTCTATTTACACTTCTGCCTCGAGATATGAGTTTTATGCGTTCGGTATCATTGCTCAAAAGTCAAATATCTCGCATCTCAAAGCAATTTTCTCAATTGAATTTAATTGAGATGTCATTTATCTGTTAGAGACCCACAAATGCCACCAAAGGAACCTTCAGCTGGGTCATCTAAACAACCTGCTACAAAACGTTAGATTTTTTTTTGAAATTTGGGAATTTTAACAAACATAACGTTGCTTTTGAAACAATTGAAACATGAACTCAGAAAAAAAAAACATGTTTAACATATATGTTAACTCATAGAAATGCCACCATTACATCTATCAATTTTTCGAAATGTGCAGTTATAAGGATAAACAAAATCACATTCCTCCACTTCTGCACGTAATAATACTGCTTGTACGAAATCTAAATATATTAAAGTTTTAAATATATTAAAGTTTTAACTACAATTTTAAAATGAAATACTCTATACCACACCGTGGCTACGCCGCTGCCCACCCGCCCCACAGTAAAGATGGTTTCCTCAGAAAAAATATCAAATAAAAACATCATTTTTCTAAAAACAAAAACACCTCGACAGTTAACCGAATTATTTTTTGTCTAGAAGTTATGCCTACTGTCATCGATTATTCCTTCCCAGGAAATAAAATCGCTATACAAAAATCCAATGACATAAAACGAATCATACGTCAATACAACTACAAATAGATGTTTTTTTTTATTATACACACCGTGCCAATATTGTTAATTTTAAGAAAAAAATTATATTTTGTTTTTCCTAAAAAAATTATTCCATGTATAATTTACGTCATCAAAGACACTAATAAATTTAAGTAAGTAGCTCCTATTCATTCAAGGTATTTTTTATGTAGGCTAAATCCCTAACAATTGATTATCCAGTACATTTATATTTATTAGGATCTTTAACATAGAACAAAGAGAGAGAATAAAGTAAAGTTTAACTATTCGGGCGACAACAAGCTATTAATATTGCTGAGAATAAGAGCGGTGTTTTACATAAGTTATTGGACAGTTATGTCCAGTTATTCGTCTTTTTGTTTCTTAAACAACTACGATATCTGAATATAATATTATTTTTAGGATAAGTTTAAAAATGAGGTTCGTACTTTGGGTACTCGTCTTCTAGCCAGTCCAATTAATTTGAGTTCTTCGTCTAGTAAACTTACTATAACACCATCACCAACCCAGCATTTACTTTTAGACCCACACTCATAATTAAACTTACAACCAATTCCTAACCAAAGTAAATACACTCATTGAATCGGCTACTCCTGCCATACATTTGTGACCCTTTATAACTGTTTGAATAGTAGGCCTATGCATCTCGAGATATTTTGAACTAGAACAGATAAATTTGTGGCATAAGACTTGGGAAACTCTCCTGGTGCGTAGGCTTATACCCGTCAAGTTTTTAAATTGTAGTAATATCAGAGGCGTAGCGAGGGGGGGGGGGCGGAAGGGGGACATATATCCCCGGGCGCCGACCTTAGGGGGGGGGCGCCAAAATGGGTTGGAAAAACAAATCGAAAGCCTGAGGGGGGGGGGGGGTGCAAATCAAAAGTTTAAGGGTGGGGGGTGCAAATCGAAAGTTTGTCCCCGGGCGCCAGGAAGGGTCGCTAAGCCTATGAGTGATATCCTTACCAAAATCCTACTTCAAGCCTCTTTTGAGGATATTCATAGAGAGATGAAATATAACAGAACAACGACAAGCGGTAACAAACATAGGCCTGTTTGTATCTTTCTAATCAGCCACTCAAGAACAACGTATTTACTTCTCAGCCGGGGCCTGTACCCTATTATCCACGCTTCGTGTAATCTTTTGTGAGGACGGTGGCATTGACTACAATTACATTAGTGACAAAGTTGGTCCGCGTCAATGCTTATCGATTTATCCTTTACAAATTATTTGTTTCATTATAAAAATATGTCTGTAAAAGGCTGCTTTGTAGTCAATCTTGAAGTCAGCAGTCATATATATATATATATATATATATATATATATATATATATATATATATATATATATATATATATATATATATATATATATATATATATATGTGACCTAGGCTAGTTGCATCTTTCCTGTTCGCAACGCCAAATGTGACCTTCCCCGAGTCTATCCTGCCCGACAACGCCAATTGTAACGAGTTGAACCACTCATGCTACACAACATCGACTACAGTAGAAAGACTCGAAGATTCAGGTTCGCTATTGATCCTTTTATTACATGAATCAAGGAATGCTTCAATATAACACAATGAATCAACAGAAATGTTTCACTATAATAGTCTGAATCAACTGACCCCCTAACAGTCCTCACTAGGCTTCATATAACTGAA